CCAACAGAGGCATGAGGCTGTTCACTAGCCAACAGAGGCATGAAGCTGTTAACTAGCCAACAGAGGCATGAAGCTGTTAACTAGCCAACAGAGGCATGAGGCTGTTCACTAGCCAACAGAGGCATGAAGCTGTTAACTAGCCAACAGAGGCATGAGGCTGTTAACTATCCAACAGAGGCATGAGGCTGTTAACTAGCCAACAGAGGCATGAGGCTGTTAACTAGCCAACAGAGGCATGAAGCTGTTAACTAGCCAACAGAGGCATGAAGCTGTTAACTAGCCAACAGAGGCATGAGGCTGTTAACTAGCCAACAGAGGCATGAGGTTCTTCACTATCCAAGAGGCATGAGACTGTTCACTATCTAACAAGAACAAAAGGTTGTTCACTCAGCAAAGTATTTTTAAGTTGTTCAAGTGAACAGCTTCTCCGTACATTCCTTTAGGACTGAAGCAATCGGGTCCCAGAGACCTGATTGCTTGAAGTATTAAGTTTCGTTTCAAAGTTTCAGCTTGAGAGCTTTAATCGTCATTTTCTGATCTGACTTCCTGGTGGGAATTTTTGCCTCTGTTTTGATTCGATTTTAATACAATATTTTTATATTTTATCGTTCTTAGTGGTCAATGGTCCTTGGATTGACAAGGATTTTTCCTCATATCTCAGCTTCTGGACTTCATATCCCAGCTCCTGGTCCTCATATCCCAGCTTCTGGTCCTCATATCCCAGCTCCTGGTCCTCATATCTTAGCTTCTGGTCCTCATATCCCAGCTCCTGGTCCTCATATCCCAGCTCCTGGTCCTCATATCCCAGCTCCTGGTCCTCATATCCCAGCTCCTGGTCCTCATATCCCAGCTCCTGGTCCTCATATCCCAGCTCCTGGTCCTCATATCCCAGCTCCTGGTCTCATATCCCAGCTCCTGGTCCTCATATCCCAGCTCAGTCCTCCCAGCTCCTGGTCCTCATATCCCAGCTCCTGGTCCTCATATCCCAGCTCCTTGTCCTCATATCCCAGCTCCTTGTCCTCATATCCCAGCTGGTCCTCATATCCCAGCTCCTAGTCCTCATATCCCAGCTCCTTGTCCTCATATCCCAGCTCCTGGTCCTCATATCCCAGCTCCGTGTCCTCATATCCCAGCTCCTTGTCCTCATATCCCAGCTCCTAGTCCTCATATCCCAGCTCCTGGTCCTCATATCCCAGCTCCTGGTCCTCATATCCCAGCTCCTGGTCCTCATATCCCAGCTCCTGGTCCTCATATCCCAGCTCCTATAGTCCTCATATCCCAGCTCCTGGTCCTCATATCCCAGCTCCTAGTCCTCATATCCCAGCTCCTGGTCCTCATATCCCAGCTCCTGGTCCTCATATCCCAGCTCCTGGTCCTCATATCCCAGCTCCTAGTCCTCATATCCCAGCTCCAGGTCCTCATATCCCAGCTCCTATAGTCCTCATATCCCAGCTCGTGGTCCTCATATCCCAGCTCCTATAGTCCTCATATCCCAGCTCCAGGTCCTCATATCCCAGCTCCTGGTCCTCAAATCCCAGCTCCTGGTCCTCATATCCCAGCTCCTGGTCCTCATATCCCAGCTCCAGGTACTCATATCCCAGCTCCTATAGTCCTCATATCCCAGCTCCTATAGTCCTCATATCCCAGCTCCTGGTCCTCATATCCCAGCTCTTGGTCCTCATATCCCAGCTCCTATAGTCCTCATATCCCAGCTCTTGGTCCCAGGGCGTAGAGTGCGATGGGATGCTCTTGTGTACTCTTGATCCCATGCTCTATATATATCCTCAGGGCTCTAAGAGCTCTCTCTCTCTCCTTATTCTCAATAGAGGATTTTGGGGTTGATTGTAGCTCTATCATCCACTTGGTGCTGTGGAGCTGGGGCATCTGCCCTCTGCTGGCCTCTGCTGGTGGTGGATGGTGTGTTCTCACCCATGTTGTTCTCACCCATGTTGTTCTCACCCATGTTGTTCTCACCCATGTTGTTCTCACTCATGTTGTTCTCACCCATGTTGTTCTCACCCATGTTGTTCTCACTCATGTTGTTCTCACTCATGTTGTTCTCACCCATGTTGTTCTCACTCATGTTCTCACCCATGGGTGAGAACAACCACAGGTAACGGTAATCCGGTCGGCCGAGCGGACAGCACGCTGGACTTGTGATCCTGTGGTCCTGGGTTCGATCCCAGGCGCCGGCGAGAAACAATGGGCAGAGTTTCTTTCACCCTATGCCTCTGTTACCTAGCAGTAAAATAGGTACCTGTGTGTTAGTCAGCTGTCATGGGCTGCTTCCTGGGGGTGGAGGCCTGGTCGAGGACCGGGCCGCGGGGACACTAAAGCCCCGAAATCATCTCAAGATAACCCAACCTGATCCTGGCAACCACTGTGTCGCACAGTCTGGTCCACGTTTTGTGTAGTGAAAGAGAGCAAGAAAAGAGGTCAAGGTCCTACTCCAATAATATGTGAGGTCAGAGGACTAGGAGTGAATAAGGCAAGCAAGGCATCTTCATATATATATTGGAGAAATTTGGATTCAAGAAAGACCTGGGTAAATACTGGTTCGGAAACAGGGTTGTTGCTTTTTATGGAAGAAATTACCGGGTAACGTGATCGACGTGGGATCGCTGGATTGTTTCAAGCGTAGGTTACACATACAGTTTATATTGGGGGGGATCTTCGACAAGCCGCCGGCTTCTTGTCGTCCTCGAGGCCACTAAAGTTAGTGGCCCTCAGGTAAATCAGGTAAAAATATGAAGGAGTTTGAGTTAAAATAAAAATAAGAGCTGCCTCGTAGGGGCCAATAAGAGCTGCCTCGTAGGGGCCAATAAGAGCTGCCTCGTAGGGGCCAATAAGAGCTGCCTCGTAGGGGACCAATAAGAGCTGCCTCGTAGGGGCCAATAAGAGCTGCCTCGTAGGGGCCAATAAGAGCTGCCTCGTAGAGGGCAATAAGAGCTGCCTCGTAGGGGCCAATAAGAGCTGCCTCGTAGGGGCCAATAAGAGCTGCCTCGTAGGGGCCGATAAGAGCTGCCTCGTAGGGGCCGATAAGAGCTGCCTCGTAGGGGCTAATAAGAGCTGCCTCGTAGGGGCCAATAAGAGCTGCCTCGTAGGGGCCAATAGACCTTGTTCAGTTTCCTTAATGTGTGTTCTTCTGCACTTGAAGGTCAGGTCAAAGGTCAAGGTCGTACTGAAAGCCTCGTAGACCGTGGTAACATGTGGTGGGACTCGAACCCGGGTCCTGGAAAGCGGTGTTTGTGGGGTTCGGGTGAAGTGGCCGTGTTCGCCCCAGCGGTTAACCGCCAGTAGATCCATTGCAACAGTGTTCCTTGTTTCTCAGGAGGCTCCTCTTCCTCTCTGGCCGCAGTCCCTCACCGCACAGATCCGTGTCACTGTTGCTGTCACTCCCATCTTGTCCACCACACCCGGAGCTGGTGGTGACAACTGCCTGTCACTCTGTCACCACCCCCAAGCTGTTACTGTCACCCCCCAAGGTCTCATTGTCACCTTTCAAGTTGTTATTGTCACCCCCAAGGTCTCATTGTCACCCCCCAAGGTCTCATTGTCACCCCAAGGTCTCATTGTCACCCCCAAGGTCTCATTGTCACCCCAAGGTCTCATTGTCACCCCCCAAGGTCTCATTGTCACCCCCCAAGGTCTCATTGTCACCCCTTAAGGTTTCATTGTCACCCCCCAAGGTCTCATTGTCACGCCCAAGGTCTCATTGTCACGCCCAAGGTCTCATTGTCACCCCCAAGGTCTCATTGTCACCCCCAAGGTCTCATTGTCACCCCCAAGGTCTCATTGTCACCCCCCAAGGTCTCATTGTCACCCCCCAAGCTGTCATTGTCACCCCCCAAGCTGTCATTGTCACCCACGTGTTGTTCAATATACCACAGATATCCACGTGTTGTTCAATATACCACAGATATCTACCTGTTGTTCAATATACCACAGATAACCACGTGATGTTCAATATACCACAGATATCCTCGTGTTGTTCAATATACCACAGATAACCACCTGTTGTTCAATATACCACAGATAACCACCTGTTGTTCAATATACCACAGATAACCACATGATGTTCAATATACCACAGATAACCACCTGTTGTTCAATATACCACAGATAACCACATGATGTTCAATATACCACAGATAACCACATGATGTTCAATATACCACAGATAACCACCTGTTGCTCAATATACCACAGATAACCACATGATGTTCAATATACCACAGATAACCACCTGTTGTTCAATATACCACAGATAACCACCTGTTGTTCAATATACCACAGATATCCACCTGTTGTTCAATATACCACAGATATCCACCTGTTGTTCAATATACCACAGATAACCACGTGATGTTCAATATACCACAGATAACCACCTGTTGTTCAATATACCACAGATAACCACATGATGTTCAATATGTTCAATGATATCGGAAGACCTCACTCTTAAAAGATCACGATAAAGTTGCTATCACAACTGCAACACAAATGGCAGGTTAGATAACAAGATAACATCTCTTTTCAAACAAGAGATGTCACACTAGTGATGATACTTTTAAGACACTAGTGCTCTCTAGGGTGGATTATTGTCTCACACTAACAACCCAATTCAAAGCTCAAGAAGATGCTGTCCCAGATTCACAAAGCAGTTACGCAAGTACTTACGAACCAGGGGCCAGATTCACGAAGCAGTTAAGCAAGTACTTACGAACGTGTACGTCTTTCCTCAATCTTTGACGGCTTTGGTTACATTTATTAAACAGTTTACAAGCATGACAACTTCCCATTACACTGTTGTTATTGTTATAAACAGCCTCCTGGTGCTTCGGAGCTCATTAACTGTTTAATAATTGTAAACAAAGCCGCCAAAGATTGAGAAAAGATGTACAGATTCGTAAGTGCTTCGTGAATCTGGCCTTAAAGCTCCCACGGACATCTGAGACATTTCGTAACTCTCCACCGACGCTCACAAATGATCACTTTACCTTGCGTTGATCTCGGGGCTCAACGTCCCCGCGGCCCGGTCCTCCTGGTTGGTGGTACCAGCCACCACCACTCCAACAACCAGCGCTACCACCATCACCACCTCCACCGCTCAAGGGCCACACTGGAACGAAATCCTGACAACTTAAGTGGTGTTCCATTTCGTCCTCATCTACGCCCCTATCTGCTCCTTGGTGGAGGGGTGGGGGTGGCTGGGGGGAGTTTCTGGGGGTGGAGTGGGGGGGGGGGTTGTGTTAGAGGGGGGGGGGGTAGATAACCGTGGATGTATAATATTTATTGTTGTATAATGGTTGAAAACCATTTTTAATTCAACGTTTTAAATTACCTCAACGTATCATAATTGTTTCAAATTATTATGGTAATTATTTTTGATTAACAATATATAAAGCTGTGATACAACATGTAATTATAATAATTAGAATGTATAATTATAGCACTTGCTATAATTATTATTGTGAATAAATAAGTTTTCTTCAGATTTGCTATAAAACGTATTATTTACTACTTTTTAGAAGACCTCACCCCACCGTGAACTCCAGAGAAACCTAACGGCTAACCCTATTGATTTTCACCATTAAAAACAACGTCATTCTAAACCCATTATGCTGCACTCTACACTCGAGTATGATTTTTTTTTACAATATGCAACAGCTCCTAGGATTGTATTTTTGCGATAGAGTTCCTATTGCCTACAGGACGTCACAGGAAGCAAGGTTCCAATAATACACCAGGCATTATTGCCAGCCTTGCTTCTTAGATACTCAGGCAACGATCTTTTGAGAATATTGGCAAGGAGTTAAAGTGGGTTTTTTGGGGGTTAATTTCTTGGAGGCTTCGGGAGGGTTTCAGGGGCTGTGTCCGTAGTGTAAAGGTGGTCGTTGTAGGTGGGAGTGGGTGAGGGGGGGGAGGGAGAGGGCGTACCAGTCGCCCGGGAAGTGAAGAGAGCGTAGGTGATTATTGCTCTCATTCCCTATCCTCTTTATCTTCCCCTTATTTATACAACCAAAATCCTCATTATGAAACCCCATAACTTTAAATATATACATAGATCACCCCCGTAAAGCAACCTATTAATGTATCGCTTTAACATCGGTATATAATAAATAATCAAAATATCGGTAAAAGAAAAAATCTCCAGTAGAGAGCGTGTGTGTGTGAGCGTTGCCACATACTTCCGTTGTGACGGGGGGAGGGAACGGCGCGTGTTTGTTGCTTTGTCTTGTTTCCCTGTCGCTGTCACGACCCGTTGTTACCTCGCCAAGGGCCTCGTTAGCTCCTTCGTTATCACACACGTATCTGTAGCGTCTTGAACTGTTCACTTCCTCCACATTTGTGTGTAATTACGGCAACGCAGGCCATTCAAAATGCTATCGATTTGATATTTTTATCAACCGGAATGAATATATATATATATATATATATATATATATATATATATATATATATATATATATATATATATATATATATATATATAATATGACAGTGTCAGACCACGGAGGAAAATTGAAACAGGAATTTCTTAAGTACTTTCGTATATTAATACATCTTCAGAAGGAGTCTGTATATATATATATATATATATATATATATATATATATATATATATATATATATATATATATATATATATATATATATATATATATATATATGTGTGTGTGTGTGTGTGTTTGTGTGTGAATTAGATTAAATATAATGAAGTATAAATGATGAATATGTAAATTATCTCATACATACACACACCTTGCGTTGATTTCGGGGATTAATGTCCCCGCGGCCCGGTCTCTGACCAGGCCTCTTGGTTGATGGTTTGGTCAACGAGGCTGTTGAATGCGGCTGTTAGCAGCCTGACGTATTAATCACTAACGGTCGTCAGACATCACTAACTGTCGTCAAGCATCACTAACGGTCGTCAAACATCACTAACGGTCGTCAGGCATCACTAACGGTCGTCAGACATCACTAACGGTCGTCAGGCATCACTAACGGTCGTCAGACATCACTAACGGTCGTCAGACATCACTAACGGTCGTCAAGCATCACTAACGGTCGTCAGACATCACTAACGGTCGTCAGACATCACTAACGGTCGTCAGACATCACTAACGGTCGTCAGGCAACACTAACGGTCGTCAGGCATCACTAACGGTCGTCAGGCATCACTAACGGTCGTCAGACATCACTAACGGTCGTCAGACATCACTAACGGTCGTTAGACATCACTGGCGACGGCTGGACGGTAGAACGACGGTCTCGTTTCATGCAGGTCGGCGTTTGGGTACCATTCCTTCCCCACGTCCCATCCCAAATCCTTATCCTGACCCCTTCCCAGTGCTATATAGTCGTAATGGCTTGGCGCTTTCCCCTTGATAATTCCCTTCCCTTCCTCGTAACTCATGCCTCTTAGTTCTGGGACTGGCCTAGTGGCATACCTCTGAACTTTTTCCAGCTTCGTCTTGTGCTTGACAAGGTACGGGCTCCATGCTGGGGCCGCATACTCCAGGATTGGTCTTACATATGTGGTGTACAAGATTCTGAAGGATTCCTTACACAGGTTCCTGAACGCTGTTCTGATGTTAGCCAGCCTCGCATACGCCGCTGATGTTATTCTTTTGATGTGGGCTTCAGGAGACAGGTTTGGTGTGATATCAACTCCTAGATCTTTCTCTCTGTCTGTTTCGTGAAGGACTTCATCTCCCATTCGGTATCCATTCTCTGGCCTCCTATTGTGGGGCCACAATTATCCACACCTATTGTGGAAGCTGTTAATGGTGACGTGTGTGCGCGCGTGCGCGAGTGTTAACTCACTTAGTTGTGTTTGCGGGGGTTGAGCTCTGGCTCTTTGGTCCCGCCTCTCAACTGTCAATTATTCTGCCCCCCCCCCACACACACACAGGAAGCAGCCAGTAACAGCTGTCTAATTCCCAGGTACCTATTTACTGCTAGGTAACACAGACATCAGGGTGAAAGAAACAGTGCCCAATTTTGTTTCTGCCTCCACCGGGGATCGAACCCGGACCATAGGATTACAAGTCCTGAGTGATGTCCACTCAGCCACCAGATGTGTGTGTGCGTGCGCGCGTGTGTGTACTCACCTATTTGTGCTTGCGGGGGTTGAGCTCTGGCTCTTTGGTCCCGCCTCTCAACTGTCAATCAACTGGTGTACAGGTTCCTGAGCCTACTGGGCTCTATCATATCTACATTTGCGTGTGTGTGTGTGTGTGTGTGTGTGTGTGTGTGTGTGTGTGTGTGTGTGTGTGTGTGTGTGTGTGTGTGTGTGTGCGTATGTGCGTGTGTGCGCGTGTGTGTGTGTGTGCGTGAAGCAAGCACCCTCCTCACCCCCAACACACGCGCGCCAGGCTGTGTTTGTGTTAGCGTGCGTGCCTTTGTGTAAATGTTTGTGCTCACCTGTGTGTGTGTGTGTCTTTCTCTCTGCGTGTGTGTGTGTGTGTGTGTGTGTGTGTGTGTGTGTGTGTGTGTGTGTGTGTGTGTGTGTGTGTGTGTGTGTGTGTGTGTGTGTGTGTGTGTGTATTCTAAACGTTGATGTGTTCTTTGTGTCTCTGTGTAGGTGTGTTCACTGTCTCAGTAGGTGTCTTAAACGTCCCTTTCTCTCACTCTGAGACGTTGAGCACAACCGCTACCCCTCCTCCTCCTCTTCCTCCTACGATCTTCCTCCTTCCTCCTCCTCCTCCTCCTGAGAGGCCCCAGAAGAAGGCCATCTTGACCCCGCCCAATCGTCCAGGGGTCAGTGTCAAGGCAGGCGATTCACCCCCAAACTGAACTACTTAAAACTACTTACCCAGAGCCACTCGTAGCTTCTAAGTGGCACTTGGGGAGGGAAGCAAGAGTGCCTGTTGCATCTGTGTATCATGAGGGGGGGGAGAGATGGAGAGAGAGAGAGGGAGGGAGAGAGAGGGGAGAGAGAGAGAGAGAGGGAGAGAGACAGAGAGAGAGAGAGAGGTGAGGTGTGAGGCGAGCAGTGGTGAGGTCTCTACTTTATATAGTTGACTGTTATTGATTAACAGAGTAACTGAGTAAACTGAGTAACAGTTACTCGTTTGACAGGAAACTGAGTATCCAGTATCCCATATTAGTTAGACCTCTAATTACTAAGAGGGTCTCAGAGCACCCAAGCTCTACTCTCTGTAAAGGAGGCGAGAGTAATCACGTAAGATATACATGGACGGTGCTATACCTGATCAACCAGGCTGTGACTCGCGTCCTCGCGACCGGGCCGCGAGGACGCTAAGCCCCGAAATCATCTCAAAGTAAGGTACTGGAGGGCCAGGAGTCACATACTGGAGCGAGGGATATGGCAGGAAGTGCAGGATAGAGCCAAGTGACTAACATAAGTGCCATAGCCACAATCAGGGAACAACATCAGAGCCTCCCGGGTCTTCAACCACCTCCCACCAACGGTAAGAAATGATGCCGGAACAAGGCCATTAAAGAGGCAATTTAAGAAGTTCGAGTAGGACGTGCGGGCTGTAGTGAACATGTATACTACCTTACTTCAAGTATGGCTACCACCTTACATCCTAAATTATCACCACACAAGCCTTTTTTTTTTTGTAAATTTTGCCCCGAGGGGCGAGTTTATTGGGCAGCGCCACTCATCCTGTGAGTGGACACACCGTCAT